CATTATATGGTGTAAACAAAAATATGTTATAATGTAAACTTATTTTATATTGGTATATTTCTAGGTTTGTTTAGCTGATCAAATTTTTAGTAAAAATATTGCATATAGGTACTGTTATTTTTTTAATAAAAGAAATTTAACTTAATTTATGGATTCAACGATTTTTCTTTTGAAAATATATAATTAAATTATATAATTAACTTTGTGTATTTTTAATATGTGGTTTATGAAATATTTTATTTTTAACATTGAAAATGTTTCTGTTATCCTATATAAGGGAGCCCAAATCGAATTAAAATGCTACATTTGCCACACCATGACGTCATATATACAAGGGTGTAGGAAATCTCGGCGCAGCGGCGGCAGTCGGCCAACGCGCGCAAAAACCATTACATCGCTAATTGTTTATTGATATATCTTTATTAGTTTAAAAGCAAAAAATATGGGGTTTGCTTTGATACCTTGTCAAGACATAAGCGAAACTTTTAAATTGTTTCTTTTTTTCATTTAGGCCTTCGTTTTTCGTTAAATGAAAGTTATATTAAAAAAATCTATTTTTAAACCAAATTTTCGCATGATTGAAATGATTATTCATGTTTAAAGTTTTTTTTTGGTCATAAGCGCTAATGGAAATGTTTTTTCGTAAATAATTATAAAAAATTACTCCCTACGAAGACTTTATTGTGTACTGGATCAAAAAATAAGTATTTGTTTTCTCTATACGGTGGTATTAATATATCGATTTTTGATGATAGTGCTTTTTACCCGGTCTAATTTTGTACTACTTTCGGAATAAGGGTCCCCATATCATGTACTGTACTTCCATCCCTGAAAAATTCAGCTTGTGACACCGAAGTGAGAGGTAACGTCAAAATAAGCTTTAATCTACCTACATCATAGGTAGGTGTAGGTACTCTAGGTATATTCTACCTAGACAGTAGCTGAACTAGCTGACAGTAGTAATTAATTTGTCATCCGATAAGTAGTTTGGTTTGGTTTGATTTGATAATAAGAGAATAATTTCTTCTTATTGGTAATAAGACTAATTTCTTCTTATTCTTTTAAATATTACAGTGTTTCTTTTTCCTAAAATGTTATACTTAATTTTCGCTTAAAATTAAAAAATCACAAATGGAGGAAAATATACGTTATTGAATAAAGTTTAGACAAATCACTTTACCATAACAAAAAAGTAAAAACATGTTATGGCGGAAGATATTCAGGTGGCATTTCACACATTTATCTATTAAAATCGAGATTAAAATAATAAACTTGCGTAACATGTTATACACGAGATAGAAAGTTTCAGAATCGATTAATACGCAATACGCTACGCAGTCAACTTATTCCTATGCGCGGATGAGCGTCTTCAAGACTCTTCCTTCGGCCAGGGTCACGACGCCGCCGAAGAGGAATCGGCCTACGTTTGGCTAAACAGGCTGGACACGGTGGAGTACGATATTGGCGAGTCTGAATATTATAAAAATTTGCAAAGTAAAATATGTTGGAAAAATAATTAGTCCATACATATATAAAAGCTCAAAGGGTTTTTTTGTTGCATCCATCCCGCCGAAAGCGCTTTACCAATCTTGATGATTCTTTTTTTAAATGAAAGGTATATATGTGTAGATTTGTTATGAAGTATTTTTATAGTGCTTAATGGCTATTTCTTTGTGTAAAACGACTAAATACTAAAACATACCTGAAAACACCTACACACAATACCTCCAGAAATAAATTAGTTGTCATTGTCAGTGGTGTGTCAGTTAGATTATATATTACGTTTTTAGATATTTTAGAGTGAGTTGATGCCGCCAGCTTTAGATACATAAATATTAGCACAAAGGTTCGTTTAAACGACATTAGTGAATTAGCTACACAAAGCGATTTTAGGAAATTCATCCTCTTAGAGAGTAAAATTATCTCGGAACAGTTTGTTGTATGAAAATTCCTTACTATTTCGTCTAGAAGAATGAAATCCTACAAAAAGAATTAGAAGAAATTTTTGAAATTCATCAACCAAATGGGTAAAGTTAGTAAAAATTTATATAAAACTTGGTGACGTCTGGATTATACACATAAAAATTGGCACAAAGGTAAAGCGAATTTATGAAATTTATACCCTTAGGGAGTAAAATAGGGAATGAAAGTTTGCTGTACGAAAATGCAATACTATAACATTATAAACCAGACAGTATAAAATTTTATACAAGGGTTTATTTAGTGACATCATAAGGAAATATATCTTCCTCAATTATCCTTCAAAGAATAAAAAATAACCTATAAAGAGAGTATTAGTGCTCTTAATAAATAAAAAAAAGATGAAAAATAAAAAACATCTATATGTTCACTAGCTCTCTATAAAGAAGTAAAAATCATTTAAATCAATGCATGAACGATTGGAGGTGTAACGCGAACGTAGTCGCGAGAAAAAGCTAGTAATTTATTAAATTATTTTATTTAACTCATTAATTTTCATTGAAAAGGAATTTTTGTAATTCGCCACTATATTAGTTAAAAACTAAGAAACTCATATCAAATTTAAGTTTTGCGATTTTGGCTTATACTTTTTCCAAAATCTGAACACATTTTAAAAGAAAAAAAGGTTTTGATAATATTTGTGTAGATTGACTACAAGTTGTATAACATAAATTTCTACGACCGGTCTAACTAGTGGTCTGCAGCATCGCCTTGTGGTGCAAACGTGGGCATGTTAATCTGTGACGTGACGCACAACAGCCAAGAAAAACAGAAGCGTGGCTAAGAATTTAGTAATTTAAAAAAAGTCTTTTAGATACAGTAGTAGGTATTAAAAAGTTTTGTGTTTAAATGGGGTTTGCCTTTAACAGTTAAAAAATTATATCGTAAAGTGTAACTTTCAGTAAGAATTCTTTTTTTTTTTGTTTGCTTGTTTTACGGATAGGTGCGATCGCATAATTATTATTGATAATGTTTTATTTAATTTTAACATTACTACTTTTTCAGTGAATCTTTAAATCTGTTGTTTTTTGTTAAGTTCGTTATTTAAACATATGTATGTAATACACTCATATTAACACTAATCATATTTTTACGTTTTTATTCATCATTTTCAATGCCTCCCCGGTTGCATCTTTGTAAAGGACTGTGAATTTTTTTGTGCGTATTTCATGTTTTATTAATTATTATCTTAATGCTGTCAACACAACTATGCAGCTATGGGTGGTTAAATGTAAGAATAACATTTTTTGTTAAATTTCGCCACCCTTGTTGCATGATGTGTAATATATACATCTTTTTCTTCAATAAAGACGATTATTTTTTTTTTCGCAGTTTACTGGTTATGATACGGCGCAGATCGGCCAGCATGGCAAGATGCTGCGCTATGAGCCTAATCCAGAAAGTACCTGACAATGTTGGTGGCGTCCAGCACAACAGACTTCTGCATTTTATGGTAAGTGTTATACGGTATCGATATTATTTTTAAATTTTCTTTTAATGTTTTAGGTATCAGACGCATCGTGGATAAGATCGCGGGTACGATGACGACCGATTCCATCCGCCACATAGCTTTAACTTATCTACGGAGCTCAGCATACTTGGTAAGTTTCTCAGTGTATTTCTGTTTTAGGTTGTGGTTGTTCGGTACTGATATATCTATCAAAAACGCTTTTTTCTCTTGCTTTAGAATAACTGTTATATCTGGTCTGTTACGCTCCGGGGACATATTTATAATAAGGGTCTTCGTTCACAGGCTTTAGATTATATAGTTTGAGCAGTTCAAGGTATACAATAGTTGCCACCCTATTATGCCTTTCAAGGTATTTCGTATGAGCCAGTACAGAGCATCCCGACAATATGTGCTCTACAATTTCACTACATTCATTGCAGCGTCTGCAGAGGTCGTTGGACATTTGTTCTCTTAAAATGTACTTCCTGTGATTTTTCGTATTGGTAACATTGTCCTGGATACTCAACATGAAACCCTCTGTCGCTGGATATATTGTACCATTCTTAAGCCAATACAGTGAGTCTGCTCTATTAACTTCTTCTCGTTGGAGGTCATTGTAAAATCTCCCGTGCAATTCTTTCTGTGCCCAATTTTTCAACTCGTCTTTGACACTCTGATATTCTGGTTGTATCGTTGTTGACTTTAAATTTAAGGGAGTGTAGTTATCGTCAGTGTTTACGATAGCACGGTGTAGGTTTTCAGTATGGTTATGAAAGTAGGTTCTAAGACTTTTTATCTCATTGGCAGATACATTATGTATATTTAAAATACCTCGGCCACCTAAGTGCCTAGGAAGCATGAACCGATGTTTTGATGCACGTGGATGATGCATTCCATGTTTCGTTAATTGTACTCGAACATTCCTGTTAAGCTCTTCGAGATCAGTTTTAGACCATGCGATAATGCCAAAAGAATGTGCAAGTATAGGAATTACATACGAGTTTATAGCCTTCACTAAGTTTTTGGAGTTTAGTTTAGTTCTTAAAACGGCCTTCAGTCTTGCATGAAATTGGTTCGTAAGAGTTTGCTTCATCTTTTTGTGTTCCATCTTATTTGTCTGTAGAAATCCCAGATATTTATATGGGTCCCCGTTGGTCTCCATTGCTGAAATAATCATGCCGTCGAGCTCTACTTCAGGTGCATTTACAATTTTGCCTTTACGAACATTCACTATTTGACATTTGGAAAGACCAAATGTCATACCAATATCTTGACTAATACTATGGACAACTTTCAATATATCTTGTAGCTGAGTGTTTTTAGAGGCATATATTTTCAAGTCGTCCATGTAAAACAAATGGCTTACTGTTGCAGTTACAGTAGATGCTTTTAATTTGTATCCATGTCCTGTTTCTTTTATGATTTAGAGGATTCAGTGCTATACAAAACCATAAAGCACTCAACGAATCGCCTTGGAATATTCCCCTACGTATTTTAATATATTCTGTCTCGACGGTTCCAGCGGAGGAGCGAATAACTAGCTTGGTGTGCCATTGTATCATTGCGTGCTTCAAGAAGGTTGAAATATTTTCATTGATTCCGTAAATTTAAGCACGTGCATTAACCAGGTATGAGGGACAGAGTCGAATGCCTTTTGGTAATCGATGTATGCCATGTTAAGATTTCTGTTTTTCTTTCTGGAGTGTTCTAGTACTACTGCGTCTATGGCCGCCTGTTCCTTGCATCCTATTGCTCGCTTCCTGCATCCTTTCTGCTCTGGAGTTAAGATGTTGTTCTCCTCAAGGTAAGTATATGTCTTGTTTGAAATAATAGCTGAAAGTATTTTGTATAAGGTTGGTAAGCAGGTAATAGGACGGTACATTGAGGGATCATCATAGTTTTCATTCTTCGGGAGAAGGTAGGTATATCCTCTGGCCATAAATTTTGGCATTGTTTCTGGTTTTTGAAGGATGTTGTTGAAACATGTTGCCATATATTCGTGAAGCGATGAAAACTTTTTAAACCAGAAATTATGTACACCATCCAGTCCTGGGGCTCTCCAGTTTGCAAGTGTGCTAACGGTATCTCGAATGTCCTTTTCTGAAAAAGTTACTGGATTCATTTTCTTGTCTTCGTACTTCCTCGTCTCCTCCGCAATCCATGTTTGATGTTCGTTATGTTTTGTATCCACGCCCCATATACCAGTCCAGAATTGTTGTATAGCTTCAGGGGTGGGAGCATTTCGAAGCTCGGGCTTTTTACTTTTATCAAGATCCCTATAGAATTGTCTCTCACTTTGTCTGAAGCGTTTGTTGTCTGTTTTGCGCTTGTGGCTTTCCGTGTATCGCTTTAATCGTTTGGTTAATGCAGCTAATCGCTGCTTAAGACTGTCAAGGTAATCGCGAATGACACTATCTTTTTGGGCAGGATTGGAATGCGAAATCTGGTAATAGATTGCTGGTGGTAGGCTTTGAAGTATTCGCGGTTTATTATTTCCCATTGACAATTGTTGTGTTTTGCCTATTTGCTTTCTGAGGTTCTCAATCTTCCGTTTAAGACGAATCTGCCAAGGCGGTTCTCTAATATCTTGGGACTTTTCAGCCCGGGTGTTACTAGTATATATTTTCTGTCCATTACCCTCAATGACTGCTCTAGCACCGCAGTAAACAAGGAGGTGAATGTCTTCGAGAGAAGGATCTTGTTCTAACAGTTTTACTAGTTCTTGATTTACAGCTGAGATAACGTAGTTAACGTTTGGCTTGTACAGTAACACAGGTATGCGCGGTCTTTGTAGTGGATCTGAGCCGCGATATTGGATTAGGTTCTTCTGGATTAGTGTTCTGTATTGGTTGGTGTTGGTGTCAATAATGCCATTAGTACGGCCATGTGATGGGCCATCGGGTTCATAGTTATTGTCTGCTTCTTCATCTACGGTATTTATCTCGCCCTCCCCATCCCTATCGAGGTTATCCAGGTCAAAGGCATCCGGGTTAGACGGGCCACTCTGTAAAAGCTCTCTACGGATATCTTCTTTAATCTGATTAATTACCAACTCAGGAAGTAAGTTCCTAGCAATAATAGCCCGTCTTTGGTCTGCTATTCTTTGTTCTGATAAATGCTTGTAATGGGGAAGAGCTGCCGTAAAGTCTTTATGCATTCTTTGCCTGTACATTGTCAGATCAGTTTCAAGAGATGTTACTCTAAAATATGATCGCATGACTTGTTTATTGGTATTATTATCCCATTTCATGCGCTTGTTTTGTTGGTTCTCTGCACGTGTGGGTCCAGCATTTTGCTGCACAACACAATCGACAGTGGAGGATCCCTGGTGTATTTCGGTGTCCTCTGAAAGTTCGGCTGTAGTGTTTTGGTTGACAGGGGTCCGCCTGATCAACACCCTGCCGCCGATGTCCCGCATGCTGTCCCGTCCAGCACCGGCTCCAGACGAGCCCTGGCGATCCCCAGGCAGCGGCTCTAACAATACTATTAATTTGTCTCCATATTAATGGGTGTTTTCTTTTTGTTTCAGGAGGTCCTGTCCGGTAGAAAAACCGGATACTGGTAGAATAGTTAGGTAAGTAATGATACCATCTGTGATGGAGTTAAGAGGATCGGTATGGCAGGAAAAATAAGAAAAAATAGCAAATTGGTCGAAGGAATTTATCCTCATCATTTACTCTGACAAATGTTTAAATAAACTTTTCAAATTTCAATCCTTTATATTTTCTCAATGACTCGACCGATTTTCAAAAACGAAGCGGGGAAATATAGAGAATAGAAAGCTCTTTTCATTACGGCGACACTTGACTCCCCTTCCCATTTGAAAAAAGTTGGGGGATGACACCTCCGCTTAGAGGGTTGTAGATTTTGCAATCATTTTTGGGGCAAAAGTTGTCCCCCTCACAAACAAAATTGACGTGTTTTTTAATTTTCTGAAAAAAAAATTACTCTGGCCGTTATGCTTTGCGGAACGTTTTCGATGGGCCACCCTGTATGTAAAGTAAGTATATGTAAACATGTAAAGTATCGTGTCATAGTGTGGGATAAAATCAAATGAATAAACAATAAACAGCATTTATTATTAATTCCCATTTTCTTTTACTTGTAAAATAATCGCAAAGTTCATTTCGAACTCATTCTGAATGCCGTAGTACTGTTCACAAGCATTTATAAGGCAACAAAATCAACGATATAAACTATTTTTTCAAATATGTACACATTATCTTTTAGCGCTCTTAATATGTTCTTATAACATAGCTATTATTTCGATAACTTGTTAAGAAAAATAAATCTTATATAAGTATTCGGGGTGACATAAGACTATATCACAAAGTGAACCTATTAGTTAGTTCTGTTCAAATATTCTACAGCAAAAACATATATTTATTTGACTATTTTAGCAAAACAGGAGTTAGAAACACCTTTAACAATTCGATTTGTCCTATATTTTTTGGCGTGTTTTGTACTGCTGTTTCCATTTCTTAACAAGAGAAAGTGGAAGCTCTATACATATAAAGGATCAAGTTCACCGAGTGCATTTTGCTTTTATGTGATATATCGACACATAAATTTTCGGTTGTAAAAGAAAATGAAAAAATTCAGCGAATTTATCGGATCAGATTCTGGAAAGCAGAGCGCGCTCCGAAAAGTTTTATAGGTAAACTATCTTTTGATTTGCAAATTACAACACTCTTACAAAATGAAGAAAAAATCCAATTTCTTTTAGGTTCAGCCAGAATTGATTAAAAACCGAAGAGGAAGTTTTTTTTGTAACCAAAATCTATTTTAAATATAATAATTTTTTTTTATGACATAGCGTTGTAGGTTTAGAATCGGGAAATAAAAAACCCTTTCCAAAGCACGAACGAATCATTTTGCTATGTGACTTTAATCCTCGTGTAAGCAGACAACAGGAAATATGGCCTGACATATTGGGAAAGCATGGAATGGGAAACGTAAATAGCGAACGCTTATTAACAACATACACAGAGCATAATCTATGCATCACCAATACGTGGTTCATGTTGAAGGACAAGTTTAAAGGTACCTGGAAATACCCCAGATCAGGTCACTGGCATCAATTGGACCACATAATCCTTCGAAGGACGCATCTAAAAGATGTCAGGCTCACAAAAGCCAAAATAGATGCCGAATGCGGCACTGACCACCGACTTTTAATTTCAAAAATGAAAATCCAGTTAAAACCCAAACATCCACACTGTAAAAAGCAAAATAACATGACCAGATTGAACGTACGGTGTCTAGAGACCCAAAATACCGCCGACGCCCTCCGGGAAGCCATCAAAGAATCACTTCCACCGATAACTTCAATCTCAATCTTGGAAGCTACACAAGGCTGGACACAATTAAGAGATGCGATTTATAAAACTAGCGAAGCAGTACTGGGAAAGTCCAACAAAAAGAAACAACCAGACTGGTTTAACGAAAATCAACCTCATATGCAGACCTTGTTGGAACAAAAGCATAGAGCACATCAAGCAGTCACTGCAAATCCACACAATCCAAGGCTGGTAGTTAACTTTAAAGCAGCCAACAACACGCTACGAAGAAATTTGCGCCAATTAAAGGATGATTGGTGGTCACAAAAGGCTAATCAGATTCAAGAGTACACCACGCATCACGATTATGGTAAATTCTTCGAGGCTGTAAAAGAAGTATACGGCCCAACCAAGAAGGTAAGCTGCCCAATCATGGCACAAAATGGCGAACTACTAAAAGAGGAAGAGCAAATTAGAAACCGCTGGAAAGAGCATTACAGCCATATCCTTAACCAGGAAAACAACCCAAATATATATTTTATATGGGGAATTTCACTGTTGCCTATCGGAGGAAAAATTCTTGCAAAAATTATGTCAAATCGCCTGCACCCACATATAAAAAAGGGGTGCAAGGGGTATTGAAGCGATACATATAGCCTAGCTTACCCAAAAGTCAACCTGGCCTTCACGTGGTGCACCCTGTTTACACAAACGAGGCTCTGACGTTCGAGTATAGGCGGTATAACCTTATACAACCCTCAGACCTACCATCTTCTGGGGAAAAGGAGTAGTAAACTACACCTAGCCGGCCAAGAACGTAGTACAAGGGAACTATTGTCGCGGTCCTCACCGTGCCATAGCCATCCCGTGCTACAGTTGCAGCCAAAACTGTGCGGCAGCGTAACCGCCACAGTTAAACCTTTTCACGTAGCTTACACACAGCAATGATGGAACATTCGAGTGGGACAAAATTATCGTCCGGAGGTAAAATACCCCCTCAATCGGATCTCCGGGAGGGGGTGCCTACTCGAGCGTATCATCGGAGAAACAAAAAACATCAATGTTTCACGTTTGCGGCGTGGAAGGTCCGCACTCTACTGGACAAGATAAATTCAAACCAACCAGAGAGAAGAACAGCACTGGTCTCACAGGAACTCCACCGATTAAATATAGATGTTGCCGCTCTAAGCGAAACACGCTTTGCCGATGAAGGTAGTCTCACTGAGGAGCATTATACCACAATTATACCTTCTTTTGGAAAGGTCACCCCGCAACACACAGGAGAATTATGGCGTAGACAATGCGATCAAAAACGAAATCGCCACAAAATTGACAGAAGTACCTATTGGTGTCTCCGAACGTCTTCTGACCCTAAGGTACCCCATATCAGACAAAACTTACGTCAACATCAATAGTGCCTACGCTCCCACCCTTGACGCTAAAATTGAGGATAAGTATAAATTTTACCAAGCTTTACAAAATGCCCTCCAACGAATTCCAAAGCACGAACGAATCATCTTGCTAGGTGACTTTAATGCCCGGGTTAGCAAATTTAGAGCAGCCAACAACACGCTTCGAAGAGAACTGCGCCAAGTAAAGGATAACTGGTGGTCACAAAAAGCCAATCAGATTTAAGAGTACGCCATGCATTACGACTATCGTAAATTCTTCGAGGCTGTAAAAGAAGTATACGGTCTAACTAAGAAGGTAAGCTGCCCAATCATGGCACAAAATGGCGAACTTCTAGAAGAGGAAGAACAAATCAGAAATCGCTGGAAAGAACATTATAGCCATATTCTTAACCAAGAAAACAACCTCAATATAGAAGCACTAAACACAATACCTCAGTATAACAGCCTCGATGTATTAGACATCCCAATAACAGAACAGGAAATAAAGACCTCCATAAAACAGCTTAAAAACAACAAATCAGCTGGCTGTGACGTGATTCCGGAGGAAATCTATAAGTGTGCAAGTAAAGAACTTATTGGTTATCTTAAGGCTCTCTTCGATGTCGTATGGGAAAGCGGAGAGGTACCTCAGGACTTTCGCAACGCTAATATAGTGAATATATTTAAGAACAAAGGAAGTGCATCAGACTGCGGAAATTATCGGGGAATTTCACTATTGGCTATAGGCGGAAAAATTCTTGCAAAAATAATGTTAAACCGCGGCACCGTCGATTCCATATTTTCCATCCGTCAACTACAGGAAAAAGTAAAAGAGCAGCAGTCTAAACTTTATGTTGCATTCATCGATCTAACAAAAACATTCGACTCTGTGAACAGAGATGCGCTTTGGGAAATTATGAAAAAGTTCGGAGTACCCAACAAATTTCTTACATTGTGTAAAAGCCTCCATAACAACAAGTCAAGAGTGTCACATCATGGATCACTGAGGGACCCATTCCTAACAAATACAGGAGTTAGGCAGGGATGTGTCTTAGCGCCTCTCCTATTCAACATATTCATGGCAGCGCTCTCCATTATAGTGGACAGCAAACTGCAGGAGAGAGGATTGGGCATTAGATACAGATACGACGGCGGTCTGTTCAACATAAAAAGACTCAGGGCAAAAACACGTACAAAATTCATCACAGAACTTCAATGCGCTGACGACTGCGCTCTAGTTGCAAACACGGTACAACAATTACAAGAAATGTTGAACACATATACCTGGGCATACGAGACTTTGGGCCTTAAGCTAAATATCGACAAAACTAAAATCATGTGCACTCCCCCGGAAGATCACAACAATACTATAAAAATCGGAGAACTATTGGAATATGTGGCGGAATTGAATTACCTTGGTAGTTTGATTTCGGAAAAGGCCAATATTGACTCTGAAATTCAGCACAGGATTAGTAGCGCCTCAAGAGCATTCTGGAAATTAAAAGCCAGGGTTTTCTACAATCATGACTTGAGTACAAAAACAAAACTTGCAGTGTACCGAGCAATTATAATCCCCACCATCTTATATGGGACACCTTAGACAACTCTTAAGTATCCGGTGGTTCCATCATGTCTCAAACGTATCGGTCCTTGAAAAAGCTAACTGCGAGAGTATTGAAGTCATGGTTACAAAATCCCGCTTGAGGTGGGCTGGTCACGTATGCAGAATGCAAGAAAACCGCATACCA